CTGAAATTTTCACAATATTTGAGAATTTCTGGACATTTGGTGTAGACCCATGAATTTCAAAAGTCCATGTAGAGTGTTAGAAAAGGTAGATGGAAAATCCTAGCCTGTTTCGCAGGCAAACACAATTATATGGAGCAAAATTCAATAAAAGGATGATATAAAATTCATCCTGATTACAACTTGATTGATTGATTTTGGTACTGAGAATCAAACTCAGGACCTTGTGCTTGCCAAGCAGGCACTTGTGTTATTGAGCTATATCTCCAGCCCTTACAGCTTGATTTAACAGCAGCTACCATCTACTTCCCAATAGTAAATCATGCATATGTTGAACATCTATTGAATGTATGTAGGTATGGAATGTGCATTGAATATATGAAGGTAAATCATGTATGTATTGAATGTGCGTTGAATCATGCATGTCTTGAAACTGTAACTCTTCACTTACCTATGTGATAATCTCTATTTTTCTTTGATATAAATTCTATATAAATCATACAAGTTAGAATTCTATATTTATACACTATCAGTGCAGTTAAATGGTCAGTTTTGGTAATAAATACTCAAACTCACTTATGTGATGTGGTATATTATGTTTATTGATTTGCATATGTTGAACCATCCCTGGGTCCCTGAGATGAAGTCTGATTTGTTGCATTCTATGTGCTGGTATCTTGTAGAAAACTTCTGTGTCTATATTCATTAAAGAGATGAGGCTGCCATTTCTTCTTTTACATGTGACCTTGTCTGGTTCTGGCATCAGAGTGATGCCGGCTTTCAGGAATGAGTATGGAAGTTCTCTTTCCCTTTCACTTTCATTAAAGCTTTTGAGGAGCATTTGTCTTGTAATCTTCCTGAAGTTCTAGAATTCAGCAATAAATCCCAGATTTTTCCTAGTCGGAATTTTTGTTTTGTTTTGTTTTTTATTACTGCTCCAACTTCATTGCTTCTTATTAGATTGTTCAGAATTTTTAAGTCTTTTTGGTTCAGGTTTGGTAATGCATATGTGTCCAGGAATCTGCCCATTTCTTGAAGATTGTCCGGTTTGTTGGAGTACTAATTTGTTGGAGTGCTAACAATGTAGATTTCTGTGATGTTCATTAAGATTTCACTTTTTCATTTCTAGTTGCATTGATCTAAGTCTTTTCTCCTTTTGTGTTGATAAGTTTGGTTAGGCCTTTCTCTAAAGTGGGACGCAGCAAACTTTTTCTGTAGCTTCACAGCATGCATTTCAGTCCTGGCAGGCTGCATGTTCTCTGCCACAGCTCTTCCCTTCTGCCACAGAGCACAAAATCAGCTGCTGAGTCGATAAACAAACTAGAAGGTTTTAAAAACATGATTATAGAAACGTGAGGAGGGCCTCAAAATCTTCAGCATTCTGTTAAACGCATGAAGATATGTGCACTGGAATACCAGTGAAGTAAAAAAGGAAAATGGAACATTCAAATTGTTAGGAAAAAAATTTAATGAAAGATGTAGACTTACCTACAATTGTATTTCTAAAAGGAGGCATTGGGCAAGGTTTGACCTGTGGGCAACAGCGTGTGGATCACTCTGTGCTCAGCCATTTATCTGGAAGCTGGCATGTTGATCTTCGTAGGGTTGACAAGAAGTTTTGTGTATCTCTGCATCTCCAACATCCTACAGCAATGTGCATGCTTGAATGTTTCTGTTCTGACCTCAGCCATCCCACCTTGCTTGATGACTTGCTCCCTGTAGCATACTTCACTATTGCACTCTGCTTGGATAGGCTGAGTCTCACGTAGGGTTGTGAAGGAAAATATGCTTAACTGACCCTTGGTTGTGCTGGCACTTTTTCTCACTCTTCTTTGTTGCCCTGTCTTGTATTTTACACGTAGTAATTTGCTGAGATCACAGCTCTTTGTACCTTGGTTAAGAAATTGTCCTCAAGCAGAAAACTAACACAATTAGTAAACTCCCCATATTTTTCGATTCACAGCTTGGCATACGTGGTTCACAGTTGTTTAGGAGAAAAAGACCGCTCTCGTATTGGTTGCTATGGCATGTCTAGAAGATGATTTCAATCTTTTATATTTAAATAACAAAACTACTAATATATAACTAGAATTAAATTAAAAAGTGAAAATTGTTTACATCCTTTAATTGAAAATGTAAGACTGATTTGCTTTCAATCATGTTTTGAGTAGAGACCCTGCTATGTAAATATTTACTATTTGTATTTTTGTCTTGTTCTACATAACAGTGTTAGATCTGTGCTGATGTTCTTTTTAATTATAGTAATGATACGTATATGAGTTTAATCCTAACTTAATCACACTCTTCTATAATGAGAAGGAATAAATACAATATATCTTCACTTAGAAGAGGAAGAAAAATAGCTTTTATGCTAGTAACCACCAGTATGTATCTGTTTGTATTTGCCCTGAAATCAGTGAAGTCCCCAAATCCAATTAAAATCATTTGACAAGGGAGGGAGTTGAAGTTGAATGATTTCTATTGGAATTCGTATCCCCATCTCTAGAATGGTGAGCTGAGACCTTACAGAAACTGGGTGGCAGTTTACCCCAAAGTGTAGGTGTCCTTGTGGGGAGAAGGAAGCCAAATGTTTAGGACATATAAAATTAAGCAAGATCCTCGAGTTTTTAATTGTTTTTTTTATTGTCTTTAAAATAAAAAAATAATTAAATGCAAAATATATTGAATATCATATATTTTCATTGAGTAGCCATGGCTGCCCCATGCATATACTAATACAGATGCTGACAATTTGAATTTATTTACAAAATATTAGACTTGAAAATTGAATGTCTATACTTATTTCTTGCAAGAAAAGCTCTGAAGCCACATAATTTGATAAGTTAAATTTCATGTTTAAAAGTACATATAACCAGGGTAAAGCTACCCCCATGTATTTTTGAACTGAAATTTAATCCTTCCACATATATTAGTCGCTCAAATCCATATCTCTCGGGATTGTTTGCAGCTATTAATGTTAAAATGAGCAAGTATTACACCAAATAGCCTCAGAATCAAAGTTACTCTTGGAACTACATCCCTGTACTTCTACTGGGGTGGAGATAAGAAACAGGAAAACTGTATTTGCTACTCCTTAACTGTATGGTAAAATTTGATGTAGATTTAGTGATGTTACAAGTTCTATCTCCCAAGCACTAAAATTTCTCTTTTAGTGCTGATGAGCAAAGAGTATATATTTTATATGTCCTAATAGAAGAGTTGAATCTTACACAAAAATCCAGTGTGATCATTACCTATTCACAAACTATCAAGGGTATCTTAGTTATGAAAAGCTTTTTTTTTTTTTTTTTGGTGCTGGACATTGAACTCAGGACCTTGTTCTTGCTAGGCAGTTGCTTCTGCCCCTGTGCTATATCCCCAGCCCAAAAAGCATCATTTTTTTTTAAGAGAGTAATACATGAGAAACAAACAAACAAAAAAATAGAACAGTAGCAGCATACCAGTATCACAAACATAAATAAATCAAAGCAAGAACATTCAAAGTGATACAGGGTCTCAAGACAAATTAATAGAAATCAACAGTGGTTGTTGCATTGCATATCGCTGTCCTCAACTACATTGCTCAGATTAGCAGATGTACAAATGAAAGATTAAAAAGCATCATTTTCTGAGTTCATTTTCTTCCTGGACTAAAAAATCTGTATGAATTCCAGGTGTAGATTCAGACTGCTTAGGTTCAAATTCCAAACCTGCTGTTTCCCAGCTGTGTGACATTGAGGAAGATACTCCTTTAATCAGTGTCTTGGATTTCCTGATTTGAAAGAATAGATGTATTATGCAGTTTATAAACAGAGTTCAGTATCACTAACAGTTAAAGCTCAATGACAAGAGGAAAATACAGTAGTCCCCTGTATCTTAGAGTATAAGGTCTTTATCATGTGTTTCTACTTCAGTTAATCTTCTAGAATATGTGAGATTTTATTTACTCTTTCAGGTTCTTACTGTTTTCTTTCTTATACCATCAGTGAATATAATAGTTTTAACATGCATTACAAGTTTATTAACAGTTTGAAATTATGTTACTATAAAATTGTAATTAATAAAATGACAACATTCATAAAGGTAATTAAAATAAATACTATTTAGTATTCTTTCTCTTAAACTATACCACAATAAACTGGAGGAAATAAACAAATTTAGAAAATAAGTTTGCAGGGCCTTTTTAAAAAATGTTTGCAATTCCCAAGGCATAGCACAGTGCCTACAAAGGTAAAGATATGGTGATTATTTAAAGGATGAATGTGTGAATGAAATAATAGTGAATAACCAAGGTGATGCAAAAACTATACTGTGCTGATAATGAAATGGCTGTCTTCAGTATTCTTTATTTTAAGGGTGATCATATGGTGTGGAAAAATATTGCGCTTTCTAGTTGAGAAAAGTCAAAGGTTTTGCCCAGGATCATATACGTAGAGAGGAAAGTAGACAGCATTACACTAAACGTCCTGCATATTTGATGTCATTGCTCTTTTCTTTGAATAGCACTTTTCTGGCCATTGAAAGGGTAGAAAGATATGATTGGACACACAGGTAAATGGAACAAAAACTCGAAATTTGAAATACAGTGAATGCTAGTGCATTAATTTGCTTGAGTTGTCATGAGAAAACACCATAGACTAGGTATTTAGCAGAAGTTCATTTTTTCACATTTCTGAATACAAGTAGCACCGGATTTAGGTATCCACACATTTGGTTACTAGTGAAGACTCTTCCTGGTTTGGTGGCAGTAGCTTCTCCCTGTTTCTCTGCATGGCTTGTCCACTTTGTAATGAGACGGAGTGGTGGGAGGAATCAAATCTATTTTTCTTCTCAGAAGATCCTAGGTCCTATAGGAGCCTGCAAGACACCACCTGAAAAGTATTCTAAGTAAAATTTACACAATATCTTTTCTAGTTTTTATTCCTTGCTAATGAATGGCAGAAGATTAAAACAGAGTGGGAGATCATAAAATTTACTAAAAATATTCACCTTTCATATTACAGGCCCAACAGCTCACCGATCTGGAGCAAAAACTAGCTGTAGCCAAAAACGAACTAGAGAAAGCCGCTCTTGACAGGGTAAGTTTACATTCAGGAACCATCACATTTCCGTTTTAGCAAAAAATGTTAGATTCTGCTCATGGCTTCCTTTGGTTTATTAATGCAGTCCCAGATGCACTGCATATAAGATGGTTATAGAATTTATGAATATTTGATGGTCCCTTTGGATTTCAAATTTTCCTTGTTTTTGCTGCTACAATAAATTTACTGAAGTTTCAGTCCAGATGAGTTCACAATTACATTTGTTACCTCACTATGACATTCTTCTTTGAAAGCCATGAATAAATGTGCATTAAAGCATCGACTGAGGTGTCTGGTATTAACTCTGTAGAAACGAGAAAAAGGGCCAGTGGCCACTGACATCCAGTTGATATAACTGATCTTTCAATATGTTTCTTAAAGTTGTGCCTATATGAATCTACCTGCAGATATGCACAAGGACATTAAGTGTATTGCTGCTTGTATTAATAAATTGAAGTAATATAACTGTTTGTCTACTGTATGTAATTTAACTGTTAACTATACAGTATATGTCACTGCACAGTTACATACTGTTCATATTTTGTATAGATATTCTGAAATGAAAATAAAAATATAGTATTTATAGACAAAAATATATTTGTACCAAACTGTTACACCTATGATATATAATATTGAGTTAAAAATTCATAATTGCATGTATATTTAATGATTAACTATAAAACACATTTTAAAATATCCTACTATCAGGATAGATTAAATGGAAAGATAAACATCAAGTTCATAGATGGAATTACTTTTGCACAGTGAGTGAAATTATACTATTGATGCTTACAAAAAACAATCCACCTCTTCCAACATGTGCCATCTCCCAGTAATTGTGGAAATAAAGAAAAATAGTCCTTGATTCATATAAGCACATGTATGTGTGTTATATACAGTACAACAATGAATCATATATGCATGGAAATGTACACTTGATATTTGTAATAATATGTTTGTTTTACATATGAATGTGCTACATTTAAGTATGTATGTATACAATCAGATGGATTTCATAAAATTTATGAAATATAGCAAAAGAACATTATACATTTAAGATAGTGCTTTTTCAATCTAATATTTCATTCAGACTCCTTTTCACTGACATGTGATATTACTAATATTTTAATGCAATATTGCAGTAATGCAATAATTTAATGCAAAATGCAATATTACAGCATTGCATTAAATATGCAATATTTCTCAAAATCTATTTTTCAACGAGGAAGTTATTCTGTCTGCTGTCAATTTTTCTGATCCTAGCATAGTAATCATTTTAGTGAGTAAATTAAATGAGACAAATGCAGTTATAAAATTATTTTGCAGTACTACACTGCATATATGTAGCAGTTTTGTAAATAAAGGTGTTTCCTTCAATTTAGCAATTTGTACCAGGGCTTATTTTGCGATAGAAGAGGAGTGGAGAACAGAGTGGTCAAAGCGGTTGATTTGGGAGCTATCATGCTGTGGCATCCACTGACCGCTTACTATGTAGTGGTGCTTAAGGGTCACACTACAATTCTCCTTCTGATTGGTTGCCATTTTTCTCACTTTCACATATTTCTTTACTCTGGCATGCCCAAACTTTCTCAGCTAGCATAGCATACATAACAGAGAATCTAGGAAGCCTCTGAGTAGGTAGATTTGTATGCACATTTCATGAATGTTGATGATGGTATTTTGTTAGGTTTAAAACTCTGTGACAAAGCAAGCTTTTGAATGCATAATTTAATAACAACTTTACTCCTTTGAGATTGTCACATTTGAACTATTTTGTCAAAGTCATTGATATTTGATGGAATATTGATGGATATTAATGGATTATTGATGGACATTTGAGGTGCTATCTTTTGGAGGATATTAAGAATACTTTTCATTTCAACAACCTAGTTTCATTAAAAGTTCTTTTACTTTATAGAAAAGAATTTCTATCGATGTGTGCTAACCTCTGTATCCAACTCATATCATATAATGTAGCTCTTTAAAAAGATTTATTTTTTCCTTTTCTAAAATTGTTAGACTCTGAAATCCAGAGGCACATATAACCCTAAAGCTCAACTAGACCATGCTTTGAACAACCCTCCTCTCTCTCACCCTTATCACCACCTCTGCTGTATGATGAATGTCCTAAAAAGACATTGAATTCCCTTGCTCCTGAAAGGTCTGCCATGCTCTGAGTTTTTATCATCTCTGAATACTGAAGCTCTATCTTATGTGAAATATTTTCCCTGCTGTAACTTCATAAATCCTTTTAGTTAGTCAAAAGCTAACTAGTTTTGTCATTTTTCTGTGGGCCTCTCTTATGGGAGGTATCATGGGATATAGAAAATATGTGAGGCACAATCTTGGCTCCCCTATCTTTCATAATTTTCTTGGGCACAAACAACTGTGATGTAATCGTGTACTGAGCCATGAGATACTAGAAGCATAGACAATCAACATGTATATTAATATTCAGAGCGTATATCTAGTCACAGAACACAGCATTTATTAGTAAATACTAATACTGTGGCCAGTGTCACAGAATTCACAACTAACACACAATATTTCTCTACCTTGGACTTTTATGCTTTCTTCATGTCATCCTCTGCCAGTCTGGACTTTGGAGTGAAGAAGCTCCGTGTTGCAGATGTTAAGTAATAGTTTCCTGAGCCCGTCTTCCTGTGTTCACAGCAGAGCAGAACTGTTTTGTTAGAAGGCAACATTTGAAACACTCAAACTCCCTATGCCCTGACTGGAGCAGTACTACAGTACTCTTTGCGGGAGCGATTATAGGGGAGAAAAAAGGAAAGCACTAAAAACAATGTTCGATATAAGATCAGTTATTATTACTGTTGGTGGACGAAATCATAGAGACTGGCTCTCTGAATGGCAATTTCTTTTTTCTTCTTTTGTTTTGGTTTTCTTGAAGCAGGGTCTCACTATGTAGCCCAGGCTGGCCTCAAACTCTCGATGATCCTTCTCCATCAGCCGGCAACAATTTCCTCTTTAATCTTTAGGACTTCTGTCTCTCCTTTCGGTACAGTGGACTGTAAAAGCAATGACTATTACTAGAGGTCCATTTCAACAAACCACATGTCAGATACATATGAGCACATAAACTGTAGCCATAAAGTCGGGTAGAATTACTAGCTCACTTCAAAATGAATAAAATGTGCAGTTTATGAAATGCATGTCTCCTCTCTCCATCATGTTTATATGAGAATTTTTATACTCTTCAGGTCTCTAACTCTTGAGTGTGTTACATCACGGCTTCAAATAACCTTAAACAACCCATAAACTGTAGGAAATCTACATAGTCACAGTCCACTTTGGCTGTTCTGACATAATTAATGAAAGATGTCTTGCTTTACTATCCTAATATAAACAATAATAATCACAAGATCTAAGAATCTGCCTTAAAATTCCAAATAATCAATTATTTATGTGGTAATACATTATTAATTAGGGGCAACCTTAAGTACTGGAATATAAAAAGGGCTTTATAGCATAGAAATCTCTCATACTTTCACCTAAAACACTTGTAGCGCATGTCTGACTCCAACAAAAACTCATCCAGGAAAGCACACCTTATCAGAAATGACTGACATTGGGTGAACTTCACAGAATACTGAGTCTAGGCAATCACAGAATGAAAACTGCCTTCTATTGCAGAAATATAACATAGAAGAAGTATAAAATTTGTTATAAATTGAGTACCTAAATGAAGACCCAATTTAGTAAATAAATGCACGTGCTATTCAGGGTATGTGCAAGGGACCTGGGACCACTAACCCACACTTTTAAATTGTTCAGTGACTTTCTAGGGTTCATTGTGCTAATTTCATGGCAGAATTTAGGTTAAAAAAAAGTTAGTTTTAGCCTTTCACAGTTTGTCAAAAGAAGATGATATCACACCATGTTCTTGCTCTAACCCTGTCTTTACGTAAAGGAATTAAATGAACATAAATAATTAAATATTAATGAACATAAATACCAGTGAACCTTCATTTGTTTGAAGATTATTAATTAGAGCCATGGTTGCCTTTCAAGTTATAGCCCATGGTTATAAGAAAAAATACATTATTTTCTGAGAAAAATACTAATGTGCGCACATGTTACATTACCTTGTAAACCTCTCACAATCCTAAGATCACACATAGCAATAATTTCCAAGAAGCTGTCCATATGATTCAACAAATATGCTAGTATTTTAGTATCTGAGAAAATAATTTTCTTACATACCTAGTACACAGGGTAATATGAAAAACATTTCATTATTTTCTCTCTGTAATAGAATATTAATCTGTATCTTCTTATGAGTTTTCTTTTATCTTTGCATTTAACAAAAAAGCTTTTGAATTAGAAACTGGTAATGGTGCAGAAAATATACCAGCCTTCAAAGCTATTGCATTCGAGATGATCGTTTCAAATGATGATAGGGACCGAACAAGACATAAAATTAGGAAAGATGTTAGCGATGGTAACACAAATGCTTTTAGGGAAGCATGGACAGGGTCTGTTTGCAAGAAGATAATCCACGAGCTGAATATGAGAGCTTTTAAACTGAATATTTAAGGCTTCTGCAGGCAGAGGAAACTGCTCTTGTAAATGTTCTAAGATGGGAATGGACTTGGGACAGCTGAAAAACTGAAAACACAGGACACTGTGAGAAACAGGCATCTTAGCTAAGGAGTTTGCATTTTATTAGAATGTGGCAAAACAAGTGGAAAAAGTAGTTTAATGCAGCCTGGGAAGACAGAGCAAAAACAAGACTGACCGTAGAAAAGAATACACTTTAAGCTCTAGGGGAAAGTGCACACCACACAGGAGTTCATATTAAGGAAAGTTTTGTTCTAGCAAACTTCAAAGTGATCCGAGGCCTGCAGCTTCAGATTTGAATGCACCTCCCGCTATAAATGAAATACAATGGCATTGTGATATAAAATCTTTGTCTGGGTTCTGCTCATGAAATTGAGTTAAGCCAGGTCTGAGTAGAACCAGCCACAGTCTCTGTTAAGTTAGAGGCACCGATTGAAGGTCAGGTAGAAAAATGACCACATTAAGGCAGGTTGCTCACAGCAATCCACGGTCTCTCTCAGGAAGAATCTCTAATGCAATCAAGCATTTGAGCCAGAATCTAGGAAGTTGCAATTCAGGCTTGTAGTGCAAAGAAAATAAACCAGAATGGAAAGGTTAAGGATAGATTAAAAACTAAGATCATGGGAAGCTGAGTATTACATCCATGAAAGGTGCAGGGTGGAGAATTCATTTTGCAATGTTGACTCTGCTAATCTGGGTTTATGGTGGCAAGGTCAGGAGGTCTTTAGGAGAATATGACTGCACTCCCTTTCAGATATTTTACAACCTAACGTGTATGAACACTCCCTTCATTCTGCATTGAAAAATTGTCTTGCCTGAACTGTATTTACTCAACGTCCATCTTTGAAAGCATTACCTTGATGGTGTTCATTATTTTGAACATCTGAGTTCAGCTATTACTCAAATTCAGAGAATTCTCTGTCGTACATATGCATCAGGCCCTTCCCAGGCCCTAGGTTTAGATACCCAGCGTTAGGAGCAGTCAAGACACAATGCAGTGGATTCGACAAATGGCTTCACTCCTTACATGATCTCAAGATTGAAAGCCCACTTTTCAAAACTGTGTAAATTCTAGCACTTAGACAAACACGTTGCATTCTGGCACATTACTCTTTCCCCTGGCTCCTTGTACTTTTCGAATACGAAAACTTTTACACCATTCAGTACAGTCTGGATTATTTAGCTCTAACTGCCAGCATCACCACCTGGGGTTGTGGAAAGATAGAAGGGAGGGGTCCCTCAAGATCGTCACAATGGGGGCTGGGGATTTAGGTCAGCGGCAAAGCGCCTGCCTGGCAAGTGCAAGGTCTTGAGTTCAATTTCTGATACCAGAAGAAAAGACAAAAAACAAACAAACAAACAAACAAAGATAGTCATGATGTCCCCAAAGAAAAATAATCAGAACCATGACTGCTTTTCTGCTTGGTTTTGGAAATGAGTTTCCTGTACCAACATGAAGAAGTAATATTTTCTCTTAAGGCTTCTTAAATTATTTATCTCAAAACTGTTTGCAGATCCCCTCTAATATATCAAGAGTTAATTATTGGAAAATTTAGACACAAGTGCATATATATGTATATACAAACATACCTAAAATTGGTGATAAATTATATAATGGAAGCAAATACAGTCAACAATACAAATAATCTAATAAGGAAGAGGCAAGGACCCAAACACTAAGGCAAACCTATCAAGGGGCCATGCAGTAAAATTTGAATTCCTAGATATCATCATTGAACTTAGCCACTTCCCACCCACTTAGCAGCTCTCTTCTGCCCAAGTGTTTATTAGCTTCTTGTTTCATCTTAGACAACCTGACAAAGCAAGATTAATGAGAAGTAAATTGATGCCTGTCGTATTATCAGCACAAGTCCACTTTCAGTTGGTTATATCTGTAATGCTTGAAAAAAATCTCCCCACTCACAGCTAGAGATTTCTGAGTTGATACTGCATCAGTAAACGCTCTTATTGTAAAGTGAACATTACCAGAAAACACAATGTTGGGTGTTAGTCTCCCAGGGAACTGTTCAGAAGTGGACCGGGAGGCTCTTCTGTAAGGAAATAGTAAATAGGAGACTTTGCTCTATGAACTTATGTTCCTGGCATAGTATATAAAATGCATTTGGTTGCCTCGCTTGCTTTTCTTCTTTTTCAGGAAGGGAAATTAGACCTTGCTGCTTCACGGATCCATGCACGCACCAAAAGCATGAATTCCACAGCTGCAGATTTGTCCCTTGATCTGTGTCCCATCGTTCACCTCTTCCTTCTCTTTTATCCTCTGCATAGATGTCAGCATGGAATGAATCAGTTCATGTTCCAGTTATTCCTCAGCTATGAGTTTTCTAAAGACTTTGTGTGTCTCATTAGTTTAATAACAGGGAATTTTGTGCCATTTGTACTTAGCTTTTTATTAATCTTACTAGAATGTAATTTTTTAGCAGTAGAAGGAGACTTACAGAACTTAGAGAGAGCTATCTACCTGCAGCTTACCCTTTGGTCTAAGTTGGACATCCTGTGAAAACTTTGACTTTTCTTTTATTTATAGTAAATGGCATTAATAAGGGCAGGTTTGTACATTTTGAAAGCATCAAATTATTCCTTGCATATGGAAACACATGGATTATTGCAATCTGCTCACACAAGTTAATATTTCGGTTCTCAGTTCAGATTAAATTCTATTACCTGAGAAGGTGCAGAGAACTGACAGTTCTGTCAGAGACACAGCACTTCTTCCCTTGATGTGGGGAATAAAGCTGCAATAGAGTGATCTCAGAAATGTGGGGGCCTCAAGTATGTTTCCTTTGCAGCAAACCGTCATGACTGAAATGATAGCAACTGAAGTGAACAGGAAGCTTTATCTCTAAATTTTGATCTTCAAAATACATTGGTGAGCACATTAGCTCTTAGAAACAGACTGGTATTAAATTAAATAGCTTGTCATCATAAATTTGTAACTAAGGCAATTATGTTTGAAAACTGGTAGGTGTTTGCATGACAGTGAGAATGGGATAGGAAAATAGAAGCGGAAATTGATTAGAGCCTAACGTGAAATGTTAATTTCTCTCTCCCTGCCTCTGTCCTTCCCTCCCTCGGTTCACCTCTCCCTCTCTGTCTCTCTGTCTCTCTGCCTCTCCAGGAGTCACAGATAAAAGCAATGAAGGAGACTGTGCAACTCTGTCTGACCTCAGTTTTCCGTGATCAACCTCCGCCTTTGAGTCTAATCCCCTCAAACCCAGCTCAGCTGCCACTCCCACTCAAGACAATTGCTGTGAAGATTCCAGACGCAAGGACAAAAGGCCAGGTACATTTTACTTGTATTTGGAAGGTAATGGTAAATGCAGTACAGCCTTTGAAAGGACGTTGTGTATGTCCTAGATGGCCTCTTCCAGGACATAACATTCACTGAAAGATATAGGTGAATATGGAAGTCAACCAGAGAACACTGGAAGACGATATTTTCAGAGCAGTCTGGTTCTTTTAGGCAGGGTCAAATAATTGTTAACATTATAACGAAATGAAAATGTAGTTAAAATATATTTTGTATTACATTCCACTATGTATCAAGGGTTTGATACTTTGTTTTTGGGTATAGATGTCCTCTTTACAAAAAAAGTTCTTTTAGAAATTAAGTTCTTCTACAAAACAGAAGAGGACCAAGAGATGGAGGGGTGAAGAAGTACTTAGCATATAGACCTGGAGCAACTCCTCAGGAGGAATGTAATCACTGTGTAAGAACTGCAAACATAGACCAATAAAAACAGAATTTAATGAAAGCCATTAAATTCTGCCTGCAATCCTGGCATTCTTGGAGGCTGAGACAGGAGGATCCCAGGTTAGAGCCTAGCCTGGGCAACTAAGTGACTTAGAGAAACCCTGTCCCAAAATTTAAGAGAAAAAAAAAATTGTGCTGGAAATGTAGCTGAGTGCAAAGGCCTTGGCTTCAATTTCTAGTATCACAGACAAACATGCACACACACCCTCAAAGCAAAAAAAAGGAACATCTCAAGATCTTACAGTAGCTGCACATTTCATTTACATGCAATGCATTAAAAGCAAAATCCACCCAACAGTAGATCTACTCAGTCATATTGAATTACATTCTGGTCATCAGTATTCTTTTTAAAGTTACTTTAAATCTAGACAATTGAAATAACTTTAACACAAAGGAGTTTTAGTTTGAGGCAGGAATGCTGGAAGAGCTGCCCCTTAACACGTGCTTTTAAAATGAGTCACGTGGGTACTCTCCTGGCTCCTCCATGTGAACCCAGAGCCGAGCCCTTAAAATCCCAACACCACCGATGGAGGCAGACACTGGCTGATGTGATACACCGGGGACTTGCATAGAGCTTATTGCTCAGATTCCCTGTGTTTGAAGGAAAGAATTTAAGAAACATTAGATTAAGAAAATGCTATTTTCAGAATGAAGAGTCTAAAACCAAGATAGCAAAATAAGTCGTGTAATATTGTTTTTATCTACAACCTGTGAATTTGCAACTGGATATTTTTTAGTTCATATAATCTCATCATAGAATATTAACATATTGCTGTGCAAAAATCATTTAAGTTATTTCTATTCCATTTTATTATTATCTTTGGCCTCTCCATGGACTGAGGGGCCTCCAAAATTTTTGAAGTCAATGCTTCTCTCCTTTAATTTTTCCTGTTCTTTCTCCGAAAGCCATAGTGTCAGTGTTTGTTTATGTAACCAAACTGAAATGAACAAAGTACATAATCATGTGTAGCTTTGTATTCACCACGAAAATTCCTGGGTCATTTCTGAGAAGGTGATAAAGTACACAGCTCCACACACAATCTCAGCCCTCCATCCCAGGGCCTCGTCGTGTCTCCTACCAGAGCTGGTGTCCAAGACAGAAGCAAAGTGGTTCAGTCCCATTAAACCTGAAGACTTTGGGCAAGATGGCTTTGCATTCCTATGTGCATGCCACATTCAACTCCAACCTACTGGATATTTATCAAACCCGTTATTAAAACAGTTCTTATAACTCTATGTAGAGAAAATTACTAACTTTTGCCCTAACTGATTTTCATGAATTAAATTAATATTTATTATTTCACTTGGCTTATCAAAGAAAATGATAGGGTGGATTTAGATGAGACTGCCTTGGAAATGGAACATTTTTCAAAAACCAACAACAAACCAATCCAATTGTTTAAGATTGTGCTCAGTAAATCTGAGTGAATGTACTTTAAAGCATCCTATTACAGGTGCGCATTAAAAGCTTGTCTACTGTTTATGTTTTCCCCATATCCTATATCTTTTTCATAATGGCAGAACTTGTCTTTTATTTATGCTTGGCGTCTAATCTCCATGAAGGCACCTCATATATAACATTTTTCAAATCCTGAGGAATATAATATGTCTGGTTGGTTCTGCATAAGAAAAGCAAACGTTCCTGCTACTATATAATAATGGACTTGACTTTGTGCTGAGGTCTGTCACCTTGCCTCCCTGCGCTGGGCTCCTTTCATTCCCTCAGTCCCAGTCTCAGAGAAGTACTGGGAGGTTAGTATTAAAAACGAGTTTTCTGCCGGGGATATAGCTCAGTGGTACAGCGCCTGCATGGCAAGTGCAGGGCCCTGAGATTGATTTCCATACCATAATACTGTTCTTTTGCTATTTTGTAAAAGGTTGTCTGTCTGTTAATGTTTTCCTCCTTTTATTTTTAAAATAAATAAATAAATAAATAAGAGTTTTCTTCCTTATTTTCTAAGATCTCTAGGCAACCACATTTCCTTTCATTTGGTATGTATAATTTTCAGTTCTTCTCTAAAGTGAGGTGTGAATGGTTTTTTGTTTCCTAAATCTATAAAACATAGCCAAATAAAAAGTACAGTTGAATATAGACAAAGATAGAGTAGCTCCTGCAAAATACTCTTGGTATATATTCAAGGAGATTGATAATGTAGGGGAAATTTTCAGTCCTTTTTTTAAATGTTTGTGTATGTATGTACATGAATACACATAAGTAATACATATACATTATATATCTATCTATATCTATCAATCTATCATCTATCTATATCTATATCCATATCTATGGTGGATTTAAACAGAAGGGTCATTAGAGGGAGAGTTAAAAATTGAGAGTCCACTGGGGAAATCTTGTAGATGAATTATGAACTGAAACCCACACCTCCTTAATTGTTGCAATTTATTCTGGAGCATGCCCACTAACCTGTTATTACTGCAGCATATATTTCTTCTGAGGGACTTCAAGGCTAGCAGTTTCATTTCCATCCAGACATTTTCCGTAACTGCTAAGCCTACTTCTCTCTGATTTCAGGGAATTTTTTCTTACGGTTCTAATAAAAATTATGTTCCCTTCCTTCAGTGTTCAGATAGTTGAGTGCTCACCATTCTTAGACCTTGGTCCTCCCTTGAATGCAGGGATACTTGCACCTCACTCTCTCTTAAGACTCTATTTGAGCTCATCCTTCTGCTCCACATTTTCCAGTCTCCAGAACATTTTTGAAACTTCATTTGCAATGGCATTTACAGAAGGTCCTGTTCTTACTAGAGATTTTCCGTGCCTAGAAAGTAGAAACTATATATTACTGTGTAGTGTTTTGTATTCAACTGAAGTGTTGTCTATGTTTATATGAAAAATGAGCTAGCGCCTTTAATCGACACACCCTCACATATCAGATACTACAGCATTACTGACTCTTTCTAGGAAACTAGAAGAATGCCGAGAGTGTTCTTGGTAGTGGACTAATCTATTTTTTCATTTAAAACATTCTAATATCTTGAGTTCTGTATTCCAAATATCTTTGATTAAATGTTAAAGCAAGGGGAGACTCTGTTCTAAGTGCACATGAGACAGTGTTTCTGGAACACCTGCTTGAAGATATAGATATGTATGTTACAGAGAATCACGTATCCAAGAAGAGATAAAAAGCAAAGGCAGAAACTGGGAAATTGGATTTGCATTTTGCAAAAATGATCCTAACTCAAGTAGAAATAAATCAGTGACAATTGATTTCATTGGCCTGTGCATGAAATGCTAGTGATCTTCACTAAAGTACAAAACCTGGACATGGGAAACCAGATGCTATGAGCCATAATCCTGTCTTTTACGGGGTGCTCAGAAGGCAAGAGCACTCCTTGTCGGGGTCCCTTCCCTGGAGGGGTGGTGGTCTGAGCAGAAAGCCTTATTGATTTCTTTTCTTTTTTTTTTTTTTTTGTTTTTCTCTGGTACCAGGAACCGAACTCACGACCTTGCGCTTGCCAGGCAGGCGCTTTTGCCGCTGAGCTAAATCCCC